TGACATTTTACTACTATATAGACAAGATGCTTGTTGATAAATTACATAAACTAGCTTCAGTTGATTAGTGTGTAACTGTTGGCAAGCACACCTTTTGTCCAATCTATATAGTTTTATGAGTGTACTTTCTTCTGGTTACAAGTTTGAGGTTTTTCTGGGTTAAATCATGATTAGATTGTTACCACATGTGACTGAGCAATGCTATTTTCTGCTATTCTATCTTGCAGCTTCTGGAGCCTCTAGGATTCCCAGCAGAACCAGCAATTCCTCTGTTTTATCAAGTCTAAGTATTCCATCTTATAGTCGGAAAAGCAGTGTTGATACACTTTCTACTCCAAGATCTGAAGGCGAAATTTTGTTTTCCCCCAATGTTAAGTCCTTCTCATTTAATGATTTGAAAAGTGCAACAAGGAACTTTAGACCTGACAGTCTTCTTGGCGAAGGAGGTTTTGGTTATGTTTTCAAAGGATGGATTGATGAACACACTCTTACTGCTGCAAAGCCTGGTTCTGGAATGGTCATTGCGGTCAAGAAGCTGAAGCCAGAGGGTTTTCAGGGTCACAAGGAGTGGGTGGTATGTTTCCTCTGCAGATTTCCAACTTAAATAACTTATTACTCTTGTTGGCCTAGTAATTGACGGCAAATGCTTTGCAGACTGAAGTTAATTACCTCGGGCAACTTCGTCATCCAAACCTGGTTAAACTCATTGGGTATTGTATAGAGGGAGACGACCGACTATTGGTGTATGAGTTCATGCCTAAAGGAAGCTTGGAGAACCATTTATTTAGAAGTATGTGTGCTCACTACCTAAGCTTTCCCCCTTCCTTTTCTTTGGGTTTTCCGGGCTATAGCAGTTTCAAGTATGTTGATCTCTCTTTACTACCTTATTGCTGGATCTCCCTTTTCACTGAATCGATCCTTTGCTGCCAGCTTTCTTGGTTTTTCCTTAATTTATTTTGCCCTAGTCCTGGGTGGAGGGAGAAGTTCTCTTGGACAAGATTAACAAATGTAGGTTCGTCGTGTTTGATTAATTTTCTTTCGAAAGCTCAGGATTGTTTCATATATCATAAATTCGTTATACAAAGTCTTCTGAATTAGTATAGGAAGAGCTGTAACCTTTTCCCTCACAAGATTAAGATTTGGTCCTTCTGAATACCTTTTCCCTCCTGAGACTGTTTTTATCTACTGCTGCCTGTTTTAGGGCCGTAGGAGCTGTTTGCTATTAATCAAATGAGAGGCAAAAGTAAGAAACCATAAACTAAAAGAAAACCAAATATCTAATTCCATGTCTAGGACACTTTCTGTATTCCAACTCTTTAAAGTAGTGACGTTACAGGGAAATTGCCTCAAACCGTATTTTGATTTTGTTAAATTGGCTCCATTATTTCTTTCCGATGAATCCTTTTGTTGGTCTTCTTTGTGATATAAGTAGTCAAACAGTGTTGAGGAAACTTGGTTAACTCTGTGATGATTGTTGGTTCAATCCATGTGGTGTAAGTTACAGCTCTTGCATGAAATGGATAATATTGAATATCCAAGTGAAAACTTGTATTATATGTGGATATATGAGTTGGTGGTAATTCTTGGAATCTTGTTCAACAGGAGGGCCTCAGCCTCTGACTTGGTCAACAAGAATTAAGGTGGCTATTGGTGCTGCGAGAGGCCTTGCTTTCTTACATGACGCTAAAGAACAAGTTATATATCGGGATTTTAAGGCTTCTAATATTCTTCTAGATGCGGTAGGCATTAAGCTTTGAGATAAGCTCATAAATCCAGTTGCCTTTCTTTAAAATTAAATGTGTTAGGCGCGTTTAGAACTAGTAAAAGCTTAATATCATTCTGTGTTCTGTGATTGCAGGAATTTAATGCAAAGTTGTCTGATTTTGGTTTGGCCAAGGCAGGCCCAACTGGTGATCGCACTCATGTATCCACTCAAGTGATTGGTACACAGGGCTATGCCGCTCCAGAATATGTTGCTACAGGTTAATATTTTTGCTATTTTCTTAGCTATATTGAACATGAGAACATCACAATTTGATTGTCCTTGAGAGAGATAAAATTTTACAGGATTTTTTGTCTAAATCGTTGAAAAAACAGTGAACGTTTAATCTACATGGTTTTGGCAACTTCTACAAATTCAATGAAGGTAATGTTTTGCCAGTTAGGTGTCCCTCACAAATTAGTGGGGAAAAAAATGCTATCCTCCCTTTTTTATGTCATTTTCAACTTGAATATTGAGAAAGGTAATATTGTTGGACATATATTGTAAACCTTTTTTGTGTGGAAGTACTAAGAAGTCCCCAATTTTACTAGTCCTTAACAAGTTATAAGAATGCTCCATATTCACAGAGGAGAACGATTGGTTTCTTGTCCAAAGTGAGCATAACTTTATGTAGTCACTTTGCAGGACTAAGCATGATGATTATATTCTTCAATAAATCTGACTGCTGGAATTCTGTTCTTGATATTGTTGGTTATGATTTTGTACTTGCTGTTCGCTAGGTCGATTGACATCAAGAAGTGATGTATATAGCTTCGGGGTTGTATTGCTTGAACTATTATCAGGACGTCGTGCTCTCGATAAAACAAAGGTTGGTGTAGAGCAAAATCTTGTGGATTGGGCAAAGCCATATCTAGGGGACAAGAGGAAGTTGTTTCGAATTATGGACACCAAACTAGGGGGCCAGTATCCTCAGAAAGGAGCATATACAGCTGCTAACCTTGCTTGGCAATGTCTAAGCAATGAGCCGAAGCTAAGGCCACGTATGTCTGAGGTGTTGGCTTCTCTTGAAGAGCTTCAAGCACCAAAAGGTGCTAACAACATCTCTCGGATTGAGCATCGATCCACTTCTAGCTCTGTTCCAGTTTCTCCATTTAGACATCGTTCATCACTCAGCATGACACCTTCTGCCTCTCCATTACAGGCCTATCACAAGTCTCCACGCGGAAGGTGACTCCAAGAGAATAAACTTGTATTTGGTTGTCATTGTAAATGTTTCCTATATGTAACAAATTTTGTTTTCTAGATGCTTTCACCTGTATAACTAACAGATTTTTCCATGTAAAATGTGGTTATCATCACTCTGTGACCTACTGATCCATAGAAGTTAGCTCTTGTGCTCTTTGGCTGCAACGGGTCTTGCTTTCAATGTGGCATATCACCTTCTCTGCCGACATGGAACTATGCAAACATTATGAGTTTGTTTACAGAACTATCTTATCCTCCTCCTATCCTACTAATCTGTACTTGAGAGCCCCTTGTTAGACACATTTTCAACTCTTTATTCACTTATAATAGGAACTAGCTGTTTTACTACCAAAATATGCTTGCCAGGAGCAGTTTTTCAAAATTGACGAGGTACACTGTCCTTAATAAAGTTTGAGGCGTGAAATGTAATATGCCCTTTAGAATATTGGGATCGAAATAACAAGGTGTTACGTAGAAGCTAACAAATCATACTTTAAATGACATAAATAAGATGACAAAACTGAAATATACCAAAAGAAAAGTTTATAATGTCATTTATTAAAACCTACTAATATAAATGAGAGTACAAAACTATCGAGAGAAAATTCTCCCCTTATACATAACTCTGAAAACTAAATATTGTGAATGATGCTGTATTGTTGTGTGAGAAGAAAAAATTCTCAATTTTTAAAAGCGTAAAAACTTTTCCTTTAAAAATTATATTCCAACAAGAGAACTTTTTCTACCTAGAAAAGTAATTTTAATTATAGTAAAATATAAGGACAAACACTAACAAATCTCACCTTGGCCGAAATTTTCTGTCAAAATTTGATCCGCCTTACTCACATAATCTTCTACATATGATTGTTGCTTACCATGCTTAAAAATATGGTTAAGAATAATATGGATTAAAAATAGTTAAAAATTGGTATTGGTTTAAAAATACCATTTCTTGGGTTTGTAATAATAAAGCGTCATGTGAAAGCTAACAAAGTAAATTTTGAATGACGATAAATAAGATAGATAAAATTTAAATATACCAAAAGAGAATTTTATAACGTAGTTTGGTCAATTGACCTACATTCATAAAAGCCTACTAATATAAAAGAGATAACAAAATATCAATAGATTTTTTCCCGCTAAATATGATTCTCAAATCCCTAAAAGGCTATGATGTAGATGTTGTTATGTTATTATGTGAGATGGAATAATCCTCAATTTACAGAAGTGTAAAACTTGTTTTCCAAGAAAAGAATTAGTCAAATATAAAAGACACCTATTTCACCAAGAATTCTAATAATGGTAGAAAGTCAAAGCAAACCCCAACATAGATAATATAGGGCAAATTACAAAATTGATCGGGCAGTCAAAACTAATTACATTCGCTAGCCAAAAAGTATGTGTATATATATAATACACATATACAAAAAAGATAAACTTTGTCGACTATTATTTTTGGGAGCGGCTAAAAGTATATATTTCACGATAATATATGACTGTCTCGATCATATGAAACTTCAAGTTGCTAATAGGACCTAATAGACAATCCATGTTTTAAAAAAAAAAATAATTTTCAACAATTTTCTATATACTCCATTTATTTCAATTTATGTGGCGTAATTTTGACTGGACATAAATTTTATTTTTTTTAAAAAAACTTGTTTGAAAAAATCTCTATGTCTATAAAAATGTGTCACTAATGGTAAAATAAAAAGTTTAATATTTTTAAATTATTTTCAAATATAAAATTATATTATTATTTTTGAAACAAACTAATTAGAAAGTATGGGTGAAGGGAGTTTTTATCCATATAAAAAAGATTCATAAATATCTTTAAATAAATAAATCTACTTCACCTTTTAATTTTCCTACTATCCCACGCATTAAGTGAATTGTGAAATCTTTTAGGCAGTATTCTTATTCCTAACTAATAAATTAATATATCCTTAATTTTTTGAAGTCTCTTCTGTGTTTTATTAGGACTATCATTCCTAGCTGCTAACATTGAACGAAATATCAAGGAAATAAAATACTTGTGTCGCACCAAAATTAATGGGCAAAAGATAATTCCTTCTTCAAATCTTCTAAGGAAAGACAAAGCATACATTAGGTCGGTGAGCATCGTAGGCCGTACTTCTCTCTCATGTTCTCGTTGCACGTTAGCTAACGTACGCTGGTGCAGCTGGCATGGGAGAGGTCAAGGTCGCGGACGAGGAAGGCCAAAAAAATCATCAATTATTGCTTTCGGCAGCTCAGTAAGTACTAGTTCTCAACCTAGGAAGATAATTTCATCTCAATCAAAAGAGGCGATACTACCGGAGCAACAAATGACAGAGATGATTACGAGTGAAGAAGGATCATCTTCAATTGCTATTGGAGTGAGCAGGAAATTGAACCTTAGTGCAGTGGTAATAGCAGGGCAAACGGATAATGTTGTTGCATCTAGATATGGGAAGAAAGCCAATGGAACAGTAGCCATGGCTAACCCTAATCAGAGTATTGACGACAGTGACTTAGCAAAGGTAAAGGGAAAATGCAAAGGAGTTGAACACAGATAAAAATAAACCAGTAGATCCTAAAATTGATACTGTGAATCCTAAGGAGCAGACTAATGTTACAAATAGAATTGAGCAAACAGTGTTACTGAAAAACTCTAGGAACAGACTAATCCAGCAGTACTACCCACACATAACAGAGAAGGGCCAAAAGCTTGGGTGAATTTGTTTCAGCAGAATCGAGTAGCTACGCATGGCATGACACTTCGATCATACCTCCTCAAATTCTTGATGGGCAATCAGTAATGCAACTAGAGCTTCAAGATATGGTGGAAGAAGAGGAGAAATGGAGTGCGGCTATGATTGCGTATATAATGAGGAGATATATTACACAACATTGGCTAGTTATTGCTGAGCCGGATTTGTTCTTACATGATGAAGGTAATTATTTGATTAAGTTTCAATCATTGGTGGATATGCACAAAGTTTTCTATGATGCACACACCATTAACAATAGATCAATAATCCTACAGCCATGAATACCTAACTTTGGTTTAAGCCAGGAATTCCTAGCTGAGATCCCTCTATGGGTTATATTTCCTAAACTACCTATGAGTTGATGGGGTAGTGAATCACTAAGCAAGATGGCCAGTGCAATTGAAAAATCTTTGTTTGCAGATAAATGCACTACCAAGCAAACAAGAATTTCTTATGCAAGGATGTCGATAGAAGTCAATGTAACAAAGACTCTACCTACAGATAGCTGTTATGGACCCTAGAAGCAGAAAATTCCAACAGCAATTGGTGTATGAGTGGAAGCCTAACTATTGTGACAAGTGCCAGATGATTGGTCACACATGCGCTTCTCAACAAGATCCTAGAATGCAATATAATGAATAACCAAAACGAAGAAGAGAGCCAAAGAAAGTCACATATGAATGGAGATATAAAGGGACAATGGTGAGAGAAAATACCAACAAAGTGAATCAGCCACAAGCTACCACAACACAAGAACAAGAGCAGGTTAGCTTATCAGTGGTGACACAGGAAGCTAACTTGTCATTGGTGACACAAGAGACTAGACAGATTCATGAGGCTACTGGATATGAGGCTACAAGAATAAGATCAATAGGAAAAGGCAAGGGGGTGGAAAGCCTAGTGATGAACTTTACTATCACCTCTTGTTAACATGAATAGCCTCCATAAAGGTTCAATGGGTACCAATGTGAGATCCTCCCTACCTCATGACATAGGTGGGGGCACTCACAAGACTCCATGACTTGGCTAATTTGGAATGTCAGGGGCATCAATAAGTGGTACAAGCAGAAAGAGCTTAAGAACTATTTAAAATCCAAAAACATAAAGCTTGCAGGTATCATTGAAACTAGAGTTAAGGAACATAATATAATGAAAGTGTGCTCCCACATTGCCCCTAACAGAGAAGTTTTGCACAATTATACCGGTGAAACTAATGGGAGAATTTGGCTAATGTGGGATCCCAACTATTATAAGGTTACTCTAATTAGAGAAGAAGCACAAGTTATTCATTGTCTAGTCAAAGGGATCATAGGATATCAGGAGTGTCTATTTATAATAGTCTATGGATACAACACTATTGAGCAGAGAAAACATTTGTGGGATAACCTGATTGAGATTGGACAAGGGATCAACAAACCATGGATCCTTGTGGGAGATTTCAACTCTGTACTGCAGCTTCAAGACAGGGTGAATGAAAATCCAGTAAGCCTCACTGAGGTTCAAGGCTTTACAAAATGTGTTCAAGACTTAGATATCAATGAGTTGGCATGGGAAGGAGCATACTACACTTAGTCTAACAAACAAGCTGGAGTGGATAGAATTTGAAGCAGAATTGATAGAATGTTTGAAAACTATGAATGGATGATGCAATGGGGACATATCACTACTGTCTATGATGTCCTTTTCATATCTGATCATGCTCCTATGAGCTTGAATTTCACAGTAGACCAGGGCAGCAGGAGAATACCTTTTAAGGTTTTTAATATGTGGGTTGAACATGAATCCTTCCCAAATATTGGTCAGCAAGTTTGGAATCAGAGAGTGTACAAGTGAAAAATGTAGGACATCTGGGTGAAATTGAATAAACTCAGACCATTGATCAGGAAACTTAATATTGAGGAGTTTAAATTTATCAGACAGAAGATTGATGCAACTAGGAATGAGCTTCTCATAGTCCAAAAGAACATGAATTCAAACTATACTGATGAGCTGACTGAGAAGGAGAACAACCTTATCCAAAGCCTAGAAAAATGAGATATGCTAGAAGAAGGAGCTCTAAGACAAAAAGCTAGGGAAAAATGGATAAAATTAGGTGACTCTAATACAAGGTATTTTACAACTGTGATAAAGAAAAGGAATCATAGGAAGCGGATTCAGGAACTTCATTCACTTGCAGGTTGCAGACTAACTGAACCTGAAGCTATAAAAGTGAAGATTGCTGATTTCTATAAATCACTGATGGGGACTGTTGATCATTCACTACCTGCAATAGGCTAGTTGGTGATGTAAAAGGGACAAAGACTTTCACAACAACAGAGAAGGTTTCTTTGTAAGGATGTAACCGAGGAAGAGATTTATGAAGGAATATGCTCTATTGGAGATGATAAAGAACCAGGAGTAGATGGATACAATGCATGTTTTTTCAAGAAGGCATGGCCTGTTATCAAAGAGGAAATTATAGAAGTTGTGTTAGATTTCTTTGCTACTAGCAGGATATACAGAGCTATCAACTGCACTTCCATTACATTAATACCCAAGACTGCCAAGCCTAAAACTATAAAGGAGTTTCGACCAATTGCCCGCTGCACTGTACTCTACAAGTTCATCTCTAAGATTCTGACATCTTGACTAGAAGCTGTCATCACCACTATTATCAATGAAGCTCAAGTTGGATTCATTCCAAGGAGAAGAATTGCAGACAATATAATCTTAGCACATGAACTAGTGAAGGCCTATGCTAGAAAACACATCTCACTTCGATACATGATCAAGATAGACCTTCAGAAAGAATATGATTCTGTAGAATGGCCGTATATAAGACAAGTCATGGAAGAGATGAGGTTTCCTTAGTTATTTACCTCATGGATAATGAAATGTATTCAAATTGTTACTTACTCCATCATTGTTAATGGGGAGCCAACAACTCCCTTTAATGCTGCTAAATGATTAAGACAAGGTGAGCCAATATTACCTTTCTTATTTGCTATTGTAATGGAGTTCCTGAGCAGAAATCTTAATGGTCTTAAGTCAGTTAGAGATTTCAAATATCACCCTAGGTGTGCCAAGCTTGAGATAACTCATCTTAGCTTTGCTGATGATCTACTGTTGTTTACTAGAGGTGATATCAAATATGTAAAGGCAATACAGAAGTTTCTACAATTCACTCAGGTGTCTGGACTGTAGGCTAACATGAACAAGAGTGAAGTCTATTTTGGTGAAGTTCCTACAGAGCACAGGCATAAGATATTGTAACATCTAGGATTCACAGGTGGAGAATTACCCTTCAAGTATCTTGGAGTTCCATTGTCTACAAAGAAACTCAGTATACTGTAGTGGTAACCCCTTATAGACAAAATGACTGCAAGGATCACCTCTTGGACTACAAAGACACTGTCCTATGCAGGGAGGGTGCAGTTAGTTCAGAGTGTATTGTTTGGTATCTAGGCTTTCTGGGCTCTGCTGTTTGTGATACCTACCAAGGTGGTTAAGCTGATTGAAGGACTATGAAGATCATATATCTGGTCATGTGCCAATGTAATCACCAAAAAAATATTGGTTGTATGGGATAGTATTTGTCTGCCCAAAGCTGGAGGTGGACTCAATCTCACTAACCGAAGACTTTGGAATCGTGCAGCAATAGCCAAAACTTGCTGGGATTTGGCACAATGACAGGACAAACTGTGGATTCGATGGATTCACACATACTATATTAAAGGACAGCAGTTCACCAACTGAAAAATACCACAACAAGTTTGTTGGATGGTTAGGAAAGTCTTTGAGGCCAAGGAAGTTCTAGAGAATCAACAGTATATGCAGTCGCACAAGAAAATCTTAATCAAACAAATATACTTCACTCTGCTTGGTGATTACACTCGCGTGGAATGGAAAAGTTTACTGTTTAGCAATGCAGCCCGACCAAAAGCAAAATTACAATGTGGCTCATGATGCATGAAAAGCTATTAACCTCTGATAGGTCGTGTAAATGGGGACTCAATGTAGATACACAATGTGTACTTTGCCAATTGCAGGAGAAAAATAGAGAACACGTGTTTATGAAGTGTGAGTACACTAAAAAAATTTGGAACAAACTATTTCAATGGCTGCAAATGCAATGCCCAAGAGCCCGAGATGGGGAACAACATAACCAGTGGATCATCACATGCTCTAAAGGCAAATCTCAACAGGCACAAGTGTTCAAGATAGTATTTGCAGAAGTTGTGTATCAGATTTGGAATGAAAGGAATCTGAGAGTTTTTGAACAAAGAAGTAGACAGTGGAAAATTATTGCGAAGGAGATAACTTATATATGCAGTGCATGAGCTCTACCTGTATCCAGGACCTATCTGCATAGTCTCCAGTTTGTATAGGTTATTTCGTCCTTTTGTCATTTCTTTAATAGATAGATGTATGAGTTTAGTTGGGAATGGTTGTGTAGTATCCTTTAACCACTTAATGAGATAGCTAGTTGTGTGAGCTTAGCTATGGGATTGTAAATATTTTTTGGTGATTAATAAAATTATGTTAGTTACCAAATAAAAAAAATATACATTATATATATTTAGTTGGGAACATACTAAGAGGATAACATCAAAAGAAAGTTTTTATATCTTCTTTTCAATTTTTAAAGATGGAGAATTTCCAGCAAACTCACTCTATATATTGTTTGTATCGCAAAGCTTTCAAGCAAACTAAATATCCCCATCAAAACCCTACTTTACCATTTCATTATAATATAATCATTCAAATTCATTATTATTTCACAGACGTATATTACAACAGCCAGATGTTGATCAAGACGTATATAATTTCATAATTTCATCAAGATGGAAAAAGGTCCAACACAATACGCTGAAGTTTTTCTCGAGTCAGAGTACATGCTTGTGTCCGATATCATTTGTCGTCACAAAAGCATTTGTCGCTTTGAGATCAACGGTGATTTCAAAATTAGATTGTGTTCTTGTGCTGTATTATCCTTTGAATCTACAATTTTAGTTCTTTGTTAGTTATCCTTAGTATCCTAAGATGGGTGAGTGTAACAGCCCACCAACCGCTAACAATTGAATTCGAATTGGGGAAACGCTGTGAATCTTGCCTTAGGATATCCCAGATCAGACTTTGAGTGAAAAGTTAGAAGCCATAAACAGTGTATATAGCATTCAAGTGCCGTGGTGCCTTTTGAAGTTAAAGCCCAAGGAAGCAAAATTGTCAAGCCCAAAAGATTCGGTCAGAGTGGACAACACCTTGACAATTGAGTCTGGACCATTACACTCATTGCAAGCAAGGAGATGAAGTATAAATTTAAGTGAATTTAAAGATTCAAAATAAGAAGAAGCATACATACTCAAGCAAGAAAAATCAAAGCAAAAACCTTCTTGTACTTAGAAAATTCTAAGAGTTCACTGTGCTGATAGCTAGGGGCTGCAAATGGGCGTGTCGGGTAGGATATGGACGGGTCGAAAATGAGTAATATAAAGAAAGATAAATTTTTCGACCCGACCCATATTTAATACGGATAAAAAATAGATTAACTAACAGATAATATGGATATCCATGACTTCTTAAATATGATCACTTTTGGGAGAATTCATAGTCTCTCAAATTTGAGAAACCCCCAATTTGAGGCTTTACAAATGTAAAAGTTAAACTCATTAGTTATCCATTTTCTAAGTGGATAATATGGTTCTTATCCATATTTGATCCGTTTTTAAAAAGTTCATTATCCAACCCAATTTTTAATGAATAATATAGGTGGATAACTGTTTTCTTTTAACTATTTTGCCACCACTACTTATAGCCTATCTGGCTATCTACTTTTAAATTAGAGTTTACACTGTACTGAAAATAAGTGCTACTATACATGGTCCCCTTATTTGTTAGAAGAAAATTCCTAGATTTCTAGTGTGAGTAAGGTTAGACAATGATTGTTTATGGGGAGCAAGTTGAAAACTGTTTACCCATAAAATGGTACAATTGAATTTATATATGGTTTCTAGACAAGTGAACTAATTTGATCCTGAAATAATGCAATAATTAAAAAAATATATAATACTTAGCCTTCAAATGTAGATGAAACAACAGAGATGACAGTTCCGGGAACAAGGTTTCCGGGCACGGCAATGATGAGATCAAAAAGCGAAAAAGTAAGATTGTATTAAGCTTTGTATAGATGTAGTGTAAGTTTAACTAGAAAATTTGTATCCTTTACAATGATAACTGAGCTCACTATTTATAGCTATGTCTAGGAAATGAGGTCCTAGGATCGTGCCCTCCTTTAATGTCAATTATGAGGGTCATTAATGAAGATGTAACGGTGAATATAAATGCAAAATCTAGACGCCCGAAACTTATTTGTGGAAAGAACTGGCCCTTAAATATGTGTGGAAGGCCAAAAATCATGGTAATTTTAACTTACCTTGCTTCCATATTTTTTTGTACATGGAGAACTTGGTTGAACCCTTCTGACTTGTTCACGAAATTAGGTCTACCTGAGGGCTTTGTTGCTGTCCTCGAAGAGGACGTCTTGGCTGACCCTGCTAATGCAACAAGGCTACTTCAGGAGGCACTTACTCGAACATGTATCTATGGGCCTGTTTCGGGCGCAAATACTTATTTATGGAGTCCCTGGCTGGAGGATAAATAACTAAAGAGAAGACGTTCCTCCGCGGCCGAGGAAAAGAATAAGAGAGTAAAGATTGATGCCCCTGAGTCATCTTCGGTGGCGATGGTGACTGGTCCTCCTTCCGAGCTGGTCATAGACACCGTGATGGTTGATTATGATGAAGAAGCTTCTTTACATATAAGACAATGATCCTCATCATCTCAACAGGATGCTCGACTTGTTGAGAGAGTTACACCAACCGAGGACGATGCCTCGGCACTTTGGGGAGAGTTTAATTTGTTAGATAATGTCAACTCCCGTTTTTGGGCCCTAATTGCTATGCCCGGTACTTCAGGGCTGAGTACCGGGTCTTTTCCGTCTTTGGTTGGCGAGCATCCAACAACCAACACCGCATTTAATGCAGCTGTTTCTCACTCTTCAACTCCATCAGCTTCATCTCCATCTTCACCAATACGAGCAACTGCTACATCACTTCCATTTTCATCCACTCTTCCACCAGCAGTTGTTACATCACCTCCACCGGCCGTACCTGACCATAAAGAGGGTGTTCCTCTTCCACAATCCCCAATTCATGGGAATTTGGGGAAAAATTATGTTGCCCCTTCTGAAGATCCACAAAGGAGGAGGAACATTACTCTTTCGGTCTCTACCGGATGCAACTTGCTATCTCGGCCGGTGGAGCTTGCTAATTATCTTAAGACTTTGGCTTCAGAGAAAGACTGGGAAAAGATTCAGGTACTCTCGGGAGAGTGTTTGTTGAACAACTCCATGCACGACGCCGAATCAGTACGTTCCTTTCTTCCTTTGTTATTTCTTCTAATTTTTTATGAATGTGTTCTAAGTTTTACTTCTTCTTTTTTTGTAGGCCAACTTTCTTGCTTCTGAGGGTCTTCAGAGGTTGATTCATGGGAATGAGGAACTTACTTCTGAACAAAATTAGCTTTTGGGGGAACGAGATCGAAATGTTCTCCGCCTCTCGGAACTGGAAACCAAAGCTACTGAGGTTGTTATTTTGGAGGCTCATTTGTAGCAAAGCGGGCAAGAAGTGGTAACCCTTAGCCAAGAAATTAGTGCGCTGAGGCTTAGATTTGATGAAGCCAAGGCCAAATGGGCTGAAGTCCAGGACGCCGTTCTTGTTACAACCGAGTGCGAGGGTGCCTCCGCTGAAAGAGTGATTAACTTAGAGGCAGCCTTGAACTCCAAAATTGAAGAGCTTGCTGCCGTGGGGGCGAAACACGCCCAGCTAGAAGAGAAGTACATGAAAACTATCGAGCATAATAGGCTCTTTAGTTCAACTGTGCGCGACCTTGATGTCAGCCTCAAATCTGCTAGGTTCGCCCGGGAAAACCTTTTTGCCGAAGTAACCCAACTCAAAGAAGAACTCAAGCGCTGAGAGGCTTCCCTCATTGTTAAAAAAACTTACGCCATATACATCATAAGGAGAAAAACCTTAGAAGAGGCCAAAACTGGTGTCATTGACTTTGATGTCGAAATTGCCAAAGCACGTGAGCTTGAGTTAGTTGCTAAAAGTGGACTCCCATTGAGGTATGATGTACATGGCCCTTCTGGTTCTGGTTCTGAGTTTTCAGGAACTGAGGAAGAATCAGAAGATGATGATGTCGAAGGCCAAATTGATGAAAATATTGAGCCACCGGTGGACCCACCTACTTCTCCCATGGATGCAGACACTTTTCTTCCTCCTGGTTCCGGAGGCACTGCAGTTTAGCTTTTTTTTTCTTTTTCCCATTTTGTACTTTTACCGTTTTTGCACGTTCTTGTAAATAAAGACATTTTTGCTCAAGTATTGTTTGAGTCTTACTTTCGTTTGAATATTTGCTTAAGAATTATGCGAACGTTTTTCTGTTCGCGCTTTACTATGTGTAGTCTCGGATGCATTTTCCTCGAAGTACTTTGGTTCCAAGCATTATCCTTTTTATGTGAGGGTTTATACAAGTATTTGCGCAAGTTTACTTTTTGCGTCCTTTCGTGTATGTCTTCGGGTGCATTTTTCCTCGAAGGCATTTTGATTTCGGACATAAAATCTTCTGAAACCAACCCTTTAACGTGAGGGTTTTAATAAGAGAGGCCCCTCTTATGTTTACGGTGCTCTTGAAGAGGACGTCTCATGTTCATTACGGCACTAACATTTGAAGTACTTGTTTAACTTTCAAATAACAAAGTTATTTCATCGTTCAGACAAGAAACAAGATAAAAATAAAAGGATTTCTTTTCATATAATTCCTTCTATTTTCAAAAGTACACAAGCAACTATTATGCTAATAAATTGCCATTACTTGTGGCTAGCATTTATTATGATAAAAAGAAATTGCCATTACTTGTGGCTATCTTGTATAACTTATTTCTACGGGGCTGGCTGCGCAGTCCCCGGTCTCGGTGATGCATTTGGTNCATCGAGCGAAAGAATATCTAACAATCCTCTAGCGGTTTGTGCTCGTGAACGGTCGGGTAACCTTTGTTCGGTAGCAAACTTAACTTCCCAGTGGTAATATACTATCTAACCAAAGATTATCTAACCGTCCCCGAGTGGAAACTTGTTTTTTTGCCT